CCCCCACCTCCCCCTTCCCTCCAACGACCCTTCCTTGTTGTCTTGTGGCCTTGCGTGTGGGTGCCTGACCTTGTGTATTTTTTTGCGCGTGTGCGTGCGTGTTCCCCCTACCCCCCAATCCAAAATGCCCTCCCTCCTTGTCCCCCTTTGCCCCGCCCCCTTCGTTCCCTTACAGATATGTCACAGAGTTTGTGGACCTGGGCAATGTCTCAGCACTGCGAACCTTCAGGGTTCTGCGAGCTCTGAAAACAATATCGGTCATCCCAGGTGAGAGAGCTACCCAGGCCCCCGTAGATTTAACTCCAACGCTAACGGCTAACATCCAAACACATGAACCCCACTCCCGCACCCCACTCCCCCCCACCCCCACTTTTCAGCTCATCTCACTAGCTAAGCCTGATGACGCTTATCGCCGTCCCTCATGCTGCCTTCGTCCCAAGGCCAGTAAAAGCTGGAATCTGGCTCCAATCTGCACAGATTGACGGGATTCGTAGCTTTTAGATACATCCTTTCAGGCAGAAACTCTTTTTTGGTTGAAATCTACTCTTGCCTTGGGGTTCTTCCAAGTAGATTTTGTGCACTATTTCTTTTTTTCCTTTTTGCATGAGACATTGCAAAAGCCGATTTTCTTGTGGCAAGCTGTTACGTGTGTGTGTGCGTTACTGTGTTTTCCCGTGCATGTCTCGTTCAYTGTTGTGTGTTTTTAATGGAAAAACAAAATGACATGGTGACAATAAAAAACTGTTATTGGCTTATTATTTAAAAATCACCTGATGATCATTTAGTTTTACAGCTGTTAAATGACTTAAAGTCTGAGTAAAGGAGAAAAACAAAACACTGGGATTTATCACATTGCAGACGCAGACAGTACTGATTTCAGCTTAATGAAAAACAACATTTGAAAACTCAGCAGGAGTTTCTTATCGAGCAGTGGTGAGCATACTTCTGCTTCTGCAAATAGCAAAGCTAAATTTACTTTATCCTGCCTCTTCTCTAACACACTTTGATTTTAAGAAAAATTATGAACATGTACATTAAAGATAAATAAAGAAAATAAAAAAATACGTTAGTAAATAAATAATAAATAAAAAACTWTTTTGTTAAGAAACTGGAAACTGTGGCAGACAAATTAGTTTCCACTAACAACTTCCCAGGAAGCAGTGGTGGGAACAGTTCTGATATTTTACTCATTTTAAGTGCAATGAATTAGCATTTAGTATTAGCATAGATAACTTTGGAATCCATTAACAGCCCATTTAGGTTTTGATAGCAGTTTCCCAACAAACTGGTGGACACAATTCTGCTAATAGCAACACTCATGTTTTGTTTAGCTTATTAGCATTTTTTGCTCACCTTGGAAACTTAGTGGTCCAATTAGATAAGAAATGGTGGGCGCAGTTACTCTAAACCTATAATAGCTTATAGCTGAAACAAAACACTATTTGTTTTGTGCTAATTTAAGAAATCCTTAGCAGACAATTTAGCTTTTGCTAACGGTTTCACAACAAGCATTGGTGGGCACAGTTCCACTAATCTGCTAAAACATCTGTTAGCAAAGCTAACTTTTCATTTAGCATGTTAGATTTTTTTTWAAAAATTGGAAACCATTAACTTAGCATTTAGCTTTGCTAATGGTCTCCCAACAAACTGGTGGGAACAGTTTTACTAATTTGCTAACAGCTAATAGCAGAGATAACTGTTTTGTTTAGCAGATTAGGATTTGTATTAGCTACGGGACCCGTTAGTGGTGGGCACAGTTATGCTAATCTGCTAATAATGAAGCAAACGTTTTGTATAGTGGATTAACGTTTTAACGTTAGCAGGCCAATGAGGATCCTCTCTCAACCTTTTTTTTAAAAGACGAGTCACATGACCATGTCTGCGTCAAACTCCACCGGGAGGACCACATGACTCAGGATCCATTCATCTTCCCCACATGGAAGGAGTATTTTTTGTCAATATATATGGTTCTCAATGACGTCCTCATCCGAGCTATTTTTTACCCTTCGCGCCCCGTTTGTGGGCTAGCATTTATCTTGTAGCAATAAAGCCAGTATGGGAGAAAAAAGCAAGGGGAAAAATGGAAAAAGGCCGCTGAACAACGCAGACGAGCATGACCAGGATAATAATACATAGTATTTAAAATGTGCCTTTCAGGACACCCGTGAATCTACTAGATAATAAATCTAAATCAATGTATTTAGCTTTATTGAAAGTAGCGATCCTTACGAGCTGCTGAAGTCTGCAGAGCCGACACACAGGCTGTGTTGACATGACTCTGTGTGACTTTCTCTGATATTATTAGTAACTATATCTTACATACTCCAAATGGGTACGTACTGCATAATACGGAGCTTTTTGTGATTATAATCTGATGCTGTCAATGTATCCTACGTTTGTGTTGACAAGGGTAGATTGCACAGTATTCGAAACACCTTTCTGTTCATAGTYCACACAACCTTCTTATTTTTAAGGTAACTGACATACTACGCGGTCACTAACCGTGGCAGGAGTGATCTGAACACACTCTGGAATCCCAAGGAGGGTGAAATCTTTGTGGTTGATTATCGCCAGCCTCAAAATCACGTGGCTTTGCCAACAGTTCTGCTACTTTGCTTGGTGTTTTTACAACGTCTGTTTTTTTTTAAAAGCGTGTTTCTCTGCCACATGAGTAGCACAGCTTTGTAAACAACTCCAATGCAAACTTGCTCCATGACTACTAAAACAAATTATAAAAAAATACTACATAAAGAATATAGACTGTAGACCGTAGACTAATCCCCTCTTCCGCATTCGCGCCCACAAATATGGTGATTTGATCACCTGACCTGCAGGTCGCTACGTCATTTGAGAACCATCTAGTCCCAAGCTAAGATGCTAGCTAATGGGACCAGATGAATTTGACCACAAAAAGTCATGGACTTAAAGTCTACTCCAAACATTTAACTAAAGGTAAAAGACCAACACTGAACCACCCAGATCATATCCCTGCACTGTCTGTCGATAAACAGATACAGTAAACCTTATTGTTTTTACTTTAGCCTACTGTTAGCTTCACTCGTAGCATCTATGTTAGCCTCGCTCATATACAACGCTCCAATCCTGCACTCTACTGCAGTCAGTCCAGCATATTTTCAGTCATCTAGGATGTAGAAGTTAGCCTTTGCAAACTAGCAATTAGCTCATCGGTCTAATCAGAAATTAGCATTTTTTTATATTGAGGTTGTTTAAGGAGTTACATTAAACAGGTATAAGATATTAATTGTTCAAAACTTTACTTCTTTTAACTCCATTATTCTGTAAATCTCAGTCGTTTTTTAATTTTCTCATGCATACAGCGTGTTTGCACTCAAACATCTGGAGTGGCTTTACTCAGACTTTAACCCGGCTTAGCTCTGTTTATGTGGCATTGCAAAGCAATGCGCAAGCAGTGCAAGAACATGCTGGTGTCTTCCTACAGGAACAAATTTGTGTCTAACATGGTACCATTACAACAAGGATGAGTGTGGCTTTCAAAGTATCAAAGCAGAAGATTTTATTTACTATGCATGGAGATTAAAGGTTGTTTATAACCCACTGCAGAGCTTTAAACTAAAATAATCTGTTGACCTGATGGAGTACCACACCCACATTTAGCTCAGTTATCTGTAAATTTCACTGAGTTGGAGCCATTTTTGTGTGGACTCTGAAAATTTAGTCCAAATGATTACTTATTTGAAAACATTRGATTAAATGCTGTTCAGTGGCTCATGAGGTATTTTGCCAACAAACAGAGTTGATTCCCACCAGTAACGACAATGTTGGGGTTCACCTTTGGCTACTACCACACCAAATTTTAGCTCGGTGGTTTACCAGAGGTGGTCCACGCATGGGCCAGCACCACGTAAACCAAAAAAACAGTGCCATCATTGCAAGAACTGGCCCACACCTGTCTGCTTGCACCACATTTTGAGACAGCTGAAAATCTCCAAATTAAAGCCAAATTCATCTTCCACTTTCTTCAACGTCCTTGTTGTTGTTGTTGCTGTGTTTACACAAATAAAACACCAACATGTCCTCACTGGTTTTATTTCACACGACGGAGCTGCAACTGCAACGAAACAGATCTCRTTTAAAGTGTTGCAGTGATTTTCTCGCCCCGCCCCTTTTTTAGTTTCTGAAACCAAACCGATGTTTTGATCAGAATTAGAACTCTGGGCTGAAAATGTTGCTGTGCATTTTAAGCAGCCAACTTTGTCAGCTTGCTTCCTGTATGACAAACATCTCATACATGGAGCTTCTTCCCTGCTGGTTTTAGCATGCAGTAATCGCTCTTCCATGTCCCTGTCCTTCACCCCGACACCCTCTGTCCCGKTCAGGCTTGAAGACCATCGTGGGCGCCCTGATCCAGTCGGTGAAGAAGCTGTCGGACGTAATGATCCTCACTGTCTTCTGCCTCAGCGTCTTCGCCCTGATCGGCTTGCAGCTCTTCATGGGCAACCTGAGGCAGAAGTGCATGCGCATCGTGAACCACGACAACAGCAGTGACGTCAACGCCACCGCCGCCAACGACACCAGCCTGCTGGGCCTCAACGCCACCTTCAACTGGACCGAGTACATCAGCGATGAGAGTGAGTAAAACGACAGGGTTAACTAGGGTCAAGCTGGCGCCTGACTCATGAGCTGGCTGGTAGGGCAGCAGTTGTTGTGTTAGAGGAGCCATGATATGGAGTGACAGCGACGCTGTGGAGCGAYCTCTCCAACATGGGCTGGTAGGAGAAGGTTGAGAAGATGTGCAGTGACAAACTGATGTAGTGTCAGAGAGAGATGATTAAAAGGACGTTGTTATGGAGTGCGACGTCTAAACAGCATCAAATGTTGTTTGCAGTCAGACAAAATGGATGTAAGGTCCTGCTAACGCAGGGGTGTCAATCTCATTTTCACTGAGGGCCACATGAGCGTTACGGTGGCCCTCGAAGGGCCACTTGTAATGAGCTTTAACATTTCATGTTTAACTTTGACTAAACAGAGTTTTAACATGTCCTCTTTTAAACACTGATAAGAACTAAGTGTACGATTGGCTAAATCTGTAATAAATACAGAAATATTATTAAAAATAAAACAAATYAAGTTTTAATCACTGATGAGTTTCTGGCTGCATTATGGCAGATTTAGTTTATGTTTCATGGTGACTTTAAAGCAGCTTATTTTCAGACATTAGTACTGAGCTTTACAACTAACTTGCTCAGTTACTTCAAGCCAACAGCTCAGGAACAGGAATTTATTAAATTATTTTTATTTCATTTATTTTATTAAATTAATTTTGCTGCATTTAACCATCAATTTAAAGTTTACCATTGATATAAGAAACAAATTTCATGCTAAGTAAAAAAAAATATTTATTTTTGGGAGGGACCCTCCCCCCCAGTGGGCCACACGGGAGTCACCCACGGGCCACATTTGGCCCACAGGCCTTATATTTGACACAAGTGCTCTAACGTCACGTAGAGAACATGCGTGTGGACATGAAAAAGCCACATGTTGTGCCTCCTCCTCTGCTGTGACTGACCTCCTGTTTGTCTTCCTCTTCTTTAGGTAATTATTATTACCTCCCTGGCCGCAGGGACGCTCTGCTCTGTGGAAATGGCAGCGGCGCGGGGTAAGGCTCGACATGTTTTATTTATACGACCAATTAAAAGCACTGCACAGCTCAGCGTTACAAAATTAGCGTCGACTGTCATTACCAGGCCAAACTGAGTGGCTTGGAGCCTCATTTACTCCTATTATAACTCCAGCAGGTAACTGGAGTTGGACAATTTTTAGTTTTAATGATGCAGTGTGAAAATATCTTCCCTTTGATGATTTCTGTTTATTAATCCAAAAACTGTCAACTCTAAACTAAAAGGTTTGGTTCAGAGTGATCGTTGACTGCTGTCACATGTTGGTCTTCATATGTTGTTTTTCTCTGTTCTACTAAAAGTTGTTGTTTGTGACACGTGAAAACTCCTAATTACATAAAAATGTGTTTATTATATTTTACACTAAAGCGCGTCATCATTTTGTTACTGACACAATGCATTCTGGGGGCAATGATGATGCTGAGGGTTGGAGACTAAAATATAAAGTCATCTTGGAATGGGTCGGGGTTGGATAGAGGGCGGAGTCGGACGTCCAGTGGGCGTGGTCACGGCTTGTAGGGAATGTGATCAGATTGCGGGCGGAGTTGGACAGCAAGCAAGCAGCGGTTCTGAAAAAATGGTGGAACCAAAAAGGTTGTTTTTACGTTTTATAATTATAGACTAACTTTTTTTTATTAATTATATACAAGGTTTATGTATATATCAGTGAAATAATGTAGAAAAAAACATAAAATATAAACTAACCAGGATGAAAAAGTATGTTTTTAAATATTTTTTTATATTTATAAATAACTATTTATTTTCTTTTTATTTATTATATATTTTATGAATATATGAGTGAAATAACGTTAAAAAA